GAAAGAGGGATGAATAAATGCTGAGTGTACTGCAGAGTGGATTTTGGTGGACAATCATAGATTGGATAAGATGTCAGGTTTTCCTTATTTAACACCAAAATTAATCTTTCCAGAATGTTTTCATCCTACCTCCAAAAAGGCAATGTTACAAAAGTAATTTGTTTGATTTCAAGAGAGGCAAATTGCACTGAGATTTACAGAAGGAAATGTATGTTGGCATTAATGCCTCGATATTCCAGCTGGAAAGTAGAGCCAGCAATAATCAAGCAAGGAAATTGAGGAAATTCTATCCAGCCTCCCTGTGGAGATTTCAAATGGTAAATTATATCGGGGAAGAAAAGGACGAATCTTTTATGTTGCTTTTATTCTTTTCATCTTCCTAACTGGAGAAACTATTAATAACAGAGACAGGAAGGGGCTTTTTTCTCAATATTCATTTTATCTTCTTACAGCTCCTTTAAATTAAGTAAAACAGATTAATTTCTTATGTCAGGCCAATGAAATCAATGGAATTACACCACTGGCTTGGCTGAGACTCCTTTGACTAATTGCATTATGAGCATGGGCCTGCATTCAGCTCCCACTGCAGTCACTGGGATTGTTTCCCATTGATTTCAGGGGTTTTTGGATCAGACATATATATTACAGGATCATCAGCAGACTTTGTAGACCCCAATATAATGATTTTGCAGTAACATCTGCTGTGAAAGTATTGCAAACTACAAACTTGAAGACTCACCATGAGCTGCAGTGTGAGCTCACAGCCCAGAAACCAACCAAATCCTGGGCTGCATCCACAGGAGTGTGGACAACAGGTCAAAGGAGGTGATTCTCCCCCTTTAGTCTGCTCTGGTGAGACACACCTGGAGTGCTGTACACAGTTCTGGTGCCCCAACATAAAAAGGACATGGAATTGTTGGAGCAAGTCCAGAGGAGGCCACGAGGTTGATAAGAGGATTGGAGCATCTCCCCTATGAGGACAGGCTGAGGGAGTTGGGGCTGTTCAACCTGGAGAAGTGAAGGTTGTGTGGAAACCTCAGAGCAATGGTCCAGGGTCTGAAAGGGCTCCAGGGAATCTGCAAAGGGACTCTTGATTAGGAACTGCAGTGACAGGACAAGGAGTAATGGGAAGAAACTGAAGGAGGGGAATGTTAGGTTAGATATTAGGAAGAAATTTTTACTGTGAGGGTAGTGAGACACTGGCACAGGTTGCCCAGGGAGGCTGTGGCTGCCCCAACCCTGGCAGTGTTCACAGCCAGGTTGGATAAAGCCTTGAGCAACCTGCTCTGGTGGGAGATGTCCCTGCCCAGGCCAGGAGGTTAGAACTAGATGATCTCTAAGGTCCATTCCAACCCCTTAACACACTATGATTCTAGGACTTTGATTTTTAACTCTATAAATCAAGCAACTAGAAATGACCTATACACTGACCCAGGATTGCTGTAAAACCTTTGAGTTGCTATTTAATATGTAAAATCTGCAACATATAAACCATTTGAAATAAACACCTGAATGCTGCTAAATTAAGCTTATGTTCTTTTGATCCATCAAGGGGCTATTTTTGTCCTTCAGTGTATTTTAACATGGTTTGGTCTGTTTGACTTTTGCCAATCCCTTTATCCCTGCAGGTCCAGGATGCTGTGAAGTGCCGAGTTGTGGATCGCCAGGAAGAAGGCAATGGAGACTCAGGGGGGTCATTCCAGAATGGACATGCTCAGCTAATGGTAGGGAAAACTACCACCTAGTGTGTTTTTAAGATCCCTCTGGGCATTTTTAACCCCTAACTGATGAAGAGAAGCCTCTGCCCATCAGAGATGTGGCAATCGTAATTCTTTTTCCCTTTAAACCTGTTCTTAAGCAAATGTAGCACTTAGAAGAGACTTTTTCCACACAAATCTTGTTTTATTCATTGTAATATTAAAGGCCTCAAACTTACACACCACCATTTGCAGATATCTTGGTGAGATCCTTTATTTCCCAGAAAATAAATAGCCAAAATACCTCCCAGGTCTTCCAGACCTTTTCATTCCCATCACTCTGCTCTGTCCTAGCTGGAGTTAGGAGGTAGTAGTTTAATACTGGTTTAATCACAGTTTGTTTGGTAATTATGGTAAAGTTGCTGTCTCAAAGGGATTTGTTTCTCTCCAAGCCACAATTCTTTCCATTGCCTCAGTGGGAATAGACTTTAAGCTCTGTAAATCTTGGTCCTGCTGTGTAAATCCTTTCCAAACAGTTTGGATAAGACCTTAGAGGAATAAGCTATGTGGCTTTGTCTTGAATCTGCTTGATTGTTACGGTGTAGTTGATATAAGAAACATTCAATTTCTGAGGTTGGGGTAAAGACATCAGGAGAATCACAAGATGTGAACAAGCTCTTAAAACATCTAGTTAATATTAGAACTACATCATAACCCAGTGATGATGTTTTTTCCAGTCACTCCTGTGCTTACAAAGCAGTTTGTGCTTGGGTCCAAGGTATCATTCCAAACAGCACAAACTTTGAGGCAAGACAGAGCTGTGTAATTCCTTCACACCTTATAGGAGTTTGTTCCAAACAGGTGCCTCATTCCTCATTTAAATGCAGAGTCTTCTCATTTCCAGACAGGTTTTCTCTCTGCCTAATTGTGTGTAATTAGAAAGCCCCTTGTGTGCCTGGGACTTTTGCTTCTTCAATAATAGACACCATAATCATATCCAGTCTCATTATCCCTTTCACCGAGTTAACACCCAGAGCTTTTTGCTTCTCTATCTATAAGACACACCCAGAGCTTTTTTTTCTTCTCCCTCTGCAAGACATGTGCCTTCAAATTCTTTATATAACCCTTTCCCACACTCCCTTCAGCTTCTCAGCATCCTTTCAAACTCTGGATGCTATATTTTTGGTTTTATTGTCACCATCCTAAGCTGGAGATTCTTCTCTCTTCCCATTTTCATTCATTATCAGCCACCTTGCAAAATTCTCTGTCAGCTACAAGTCTTTTAGCAATATTACATTTACTTCTGCACTGGAGATGGATGTGTTGAAAAGCAAAAAGCTTACAATCAGCTTCCTCACACTCAGACACAAAAAGCTCTGGGATCTAGAGGTGAATGATGACTCCTCACTGATATTTTAGAGGGGCACAATGTTATTTTACAGTGGCTGAGTTGTAACATAGGCAGAGAAATCAAAAGCTTTGCAGGATGGCATTTTTCCTGTTACCTTTTCCAGTAATCTCCAAATCTGCCCAACTAGTGAAAAGAGGCTTAGCTGGGTAGAACTGTTTTCCACAAAATCTTGTTGACTGGTATTAAATATAAACCTATCTTTTATTTATTTATCAGCAGAACTAGCACAGGCTGTTCAGCTACACTTTTCTGCAACTCCTATCAGGAAAATGAGATTAGATTTCTCTGTGTCATCCCATTTGCCCATTTAAATGTTAGTTCAGTTGTATTTCTCTTCTGTTCTTTTCAGATTTATTTGATATCCCAAATCATTTACTGAGAAATTAACATCAAGAAGGTTGAGATAGTTCCTCAAACAGCTCTTCAAAAACTCTTGGATCTCAACTTGGCTGATATTTAAGTGTTTATCCCAGGGGAATGGGGATTTTTCCTGAGCTGCAATGCATTCAATGACATTAACACAAATATAATAAGTGTCTTTTTGAAATGGTACTAGGAATAATCAGTGAACTCTTCTACCTTTTGCTAGTCCACAGCCTTGCCATTATCCCATGCAAACTCCCAGCCAGCTGTGACTCAGGGTATCCAGGTCTTTGAAATGTTATCTGCTAAAAGCTTTAGAAAAAGGATTAACTCCTACTGGGAGAAGAAAGGAGTTTCCTTTAGCTCTACAGACCACTTGAAAAAGTTATTCAGCCTTTGAGCCTGCAGGAACCATTGATTTTTCATGCTCAGAGTTTCAGAAGCAGAGACTTGTTTCCATTTCATGTGACTTGGTGATAGATCACAAGGAAACCCAGTGGGGATGGAGTGTTCTCAGCAGCATCCCCAGATCTTTAATGAGTGGAGAGGAATCCACTTAAACTATGCCTGAAGTGATATATCCAAGCCAGTTTGGGCCAGGAACCTGTTCCCTGTACATAAACATGTTCCAGGGGGATACTTGAATCTGCAGCCCAGGAGTTAGTGTATGGATGAGCAGATGAACCCAGCTGGAAAGCAGTGTTACAGCTTTATCAATGCTTCAAGTTGAAAAGCCACAGATGAAAAAAAAGTGACCTGTTGTCTATGTATCAAAACCCAAATGAAAAGTCTCTACTCTGCTGGCAATGGTTGTGTCCTCCTTGCTGATTAAAGTGGGGTTTGTATTCTCCAAATGGCTTTCTCTCCTCCACCACCTCCTTTTTGACCACATCCTCTGTGTTCTCTGTCTTTCAGACCGATTTTGAGAAGGATGTGGATATGGCTTGTAGATCAGGTGAGCACATCACAGGTGAGAATCAACAAGTGACCTGGTTTGGGGATTGAACTAGGCCATTTTTTTCCCCTTTGTGTTTTCTCTGTGTGTGTCTTTGTGCCTTGCATGTATTTGTGTGGGCTGCCCTTACTACCAACCCTGGCCAAAAGAAAGCAACATTCCTAATTCTCCTTTTGCTTACCCTATTTTTCCATAGCTCTTTTGGCCTTTTAACTTAGATTAAGCTTTGCCTCCAAGGTATGATTTTTTGCCAATGACCCGTGTAACACAGTGGCAGAGAAGAGCATCAAGGAAGAAGAGATGGGATCCATCTCTTCCTACTATGATCCTTCTTTGGTTTAGCAACCCAAGGGATCAGGCCAACCTCAGACAGCTCTGTGCTCAGGAAAGGTGTCTTTGAGAAGGTCTGGAATCTGGTGAGCCTTCCCACCACTCCCCCTGGCTCCATGCACACTGGTAGTGCTGTTGTACACTGCGTGTGCATATGGAGGTGGGTCAGGTGTCTCCTCTGCCTGCACCTTTCTGCTGTGTGTTCAATCACACAGGTTCATTTTTGAGCCTGAAGATGTGCATGAGTTGAGAGTCTCTTTGCTGAGAACCCTGGGGGTGTCTGTGCTGCCTGGACCCTCCTTTGCTACCTGTTCGTCTCTGCAGGTTTTGTCCTCTCCTGGCCCTGGCATGTCTGACCACTTGGCTGAGGTTATTTTTCTTACCCTTTGTAGATATTTAGGCTTTCATTTACCCTCCCAGACTTCTCCCTTCTCCCAAGCAAGAGAACTATCAGCTTGCTTGGCACTTGCTTAGAATTCAGATCTTCCAAACCAGGATCTTCCCTAGCCAAGGACAATACACACTGTGTGTTCAGTTACCACTATGGGAAAACCTCTCTCTCTCTCTTTCTCTCTCTCTCTCTCTCTTCTCTTTCCTAGATCTTCCAAACCAGGATCTTCCCTAGCCAAGGACAATACACACTGTGTGTTCAGTTACCACTATGGGAAAACCTCTCTCTCTCTCTTTCTCTCTCTCTCTCTCTCTCTCTCTCCTTCCTTCCTTCCTTCCTTCCCTGCCTTTTTTCTTTCTCTTCTCTCCCCTCTCTCTCTCTCTCTCTCTCTCTAAACATCTACCTGTCCTTTTCATTTATCTTTTCCTGTATCTCATCTATCATTTATTTATCTGCTCCTAATGTATTTATCTATAATTCATCTCTTTGGTTCTGTCTTGCAATCACTTATTTATCTCTGTCCTCAGCTGTCTGTCTTGCTGTACCTGTTATTTATGTATTTCTATCTCTGTCAACATTTATCCCTGTCACTGTGTTTCTGTGTATTGTCTGTCACTGTCACTATCATTTATCTGTCTAATATCTATCTATATCTTATTTATCTTTTCCTGTCCTCTCTGCCTCACTCCCTCTCCCTGTGCTTATCACAGTCGCAGTATATTTATCTCACTTATCCCTGTGATATCTTATTTCATGGTCTCTTTCTGTCCATTTATCTCTTTTCAGGGTTTGTCCATTCTTTTTTTTTTTTCCCTCTCTGTTTCTCTGTCTCACACTCTCTAATCTAATTTCGAGCTGTCTGCCTCTTCTCATTTGTCTTCCTCCTGCTTTTTTGACACCTAACGTCTCAGTTCCAAAAAATCACGTGGGAAAAACCTGTGTAAGACCATGTCTGACCTGAAGGGATGCTCAACATCCAGGCTGGTTGTTGGCACACACAGCCAGCAGCTCACTCTGTGCTGGAAGCCAAGGCAGACTCTGCACTCCTGTATTAAAGGAGCCTTTCTGGATTTCCTACCACATTTCTTGCTCCCAAATCAAACTTCCCAGAGGAAAGGAAGGAGCTGATTTGTTTCACATGACTTCAGGGCAGGAGACTCTGGATCAGCAGCTTGCTCACAGCCCAGGTTTTCCCTTCCTTTGCCAGCACAGCTGTACAATTTGATGTCTGCCTAAAGAGATTTTCCTCCTCTGATAAAATGCTATTAGTCTGCATCAAGCCAAGTAGCTAATCCCCATTTCAGAGACCTCTCTATATGGTGCATCATCCCATGCTTTCTGCTTAATAAATAACAAAAAATAGGGATCTGTCCATTGGTTTCTCCTGGAGGCACCAGCTGTCCTGTCATGATGGATTGGAGACGTGGCTGCTACCACTCATGACTTAGATCCACTGGTAGGATTTGGTCCATGGCTCAGTGTTGAAAGCTCACTCTGCTCCATGTTTGGAGATTGCTTAGTGGAAACCTCTCCAAACCTGTTTTCCACAGCCAGTGTGAGCATGGCAAAGAGCCTGGATCAATAAACCTCACTGACACTCCCAGGCAAAGGATTTGACTTGTTCTGATTTATCCTAGTGTGTCCTCTAGCCACGTCAAGAAGATCATGGATGCCATGGCTACACCCAAAGTGTTTAGCTTCAAAGCTTTTAAAAAGTTCTTTTATTCCACTTGGTCTCCTTGTCTTCCTGCCTTCCCTGCTCTGTCGTCTTGGAGGGGAGCTTGGATCTTCCCTCACTCCCATCATGAGTTGGCAGGAAAACTAGTGTGTCCTCAATCCCATGGGATGCCTAAGTCATGTCCCACCTCTGTCCCAGGTGGAGCAGCTGAATAGTATCAGGTTACCCAAAAGATCCTTCTCTCTGGTCCAAAAAAGATCTATTTACCTATTTTTTATTTCCTCCTGAGATGGGTGAAAGGGGAATATCCATTTATTTCTCCTACTGGTAAGTAGCTTTCAGTCCCACACCAGTTTGTCCGAGCCCCATAGTCTGATTTTCCATTCATGGAGACATCAAGGTTAGCATCATTATCTTCCTAAAGTCTTTGTTGCAGCCTGAAGTCAACTGAGCATTAGATTACTATGCCTAGAAAAGGGGCAGATGTTTTGTTGTGGACAGTGTTGTGTGGGAATGAGTCTATGTGTCCTTTATGGCATGTTCACTTCCTCCTCAGTTTAAAGTTTTCCTCTCCTATTAAGGATTATTCATGGCACTCCTTTCTTCCTGAAGGGAAATTGCAAATGACTAAATAATTAGCTCTCACAGAGGTTTACTAGAACATAGGATTTTTGAAGAGCAGTTAGAAATTGATAACAAAACATGCTTTTTTTTAAAAATACCAAATTACTGGATGCTGAAACTATTCAACAAAGGAACAACTTGAAGTAATTCAGTTTGTTTAAAGAAAAAATTGTATTTGAAATAATTTCTAATCCTGGAATCAATCAGGCTGGAAAAGAACTCTGAGATCATCAAGTCCAATATATGACCTAACACCACCATGTCAACTAGACTTTGGCACTAAGTGCCATGTCTAGTCTCTCCTTCCTGCTTCGTTTCAGCTATTTTCTGCATCAAATATTTATTTTTACCTGAAAACAACCTTTTATTTTAAAGAATTCTACTCCATAGGCTAATATATATATATATATTTCATATATAAACATATACTACATGTAGTAAATATATATCCATGTATTGATTTTTCAAGATATTGTTATCAATCTGATAATATGTGCTGGCCTAGATGGGAGTTTTGGCCATGATTGTGTTGGAAAATTCTCATCACAACTTTCTCAAAGTGAGAAGGGTTTTTTTTCTCTTTCTAGCTTTCATTTTGGCTTCAGTATTGGGGGTTTAAAAAGTATAAATAATATGAAGCCTTTTTCTGCCACCAAGGCCTCACTCTGAGAGGTGCAAGGGAACATGCTGGCATAGTGTGACTCTGATAGGTGTGTTGATGTGTTAGCAAGAACCTCAGTAAGGTGCTGAAAACACTTCTCTGTCTCCCTAGTGTTGAATAAAGACATCACCACCTGCAGAACCTCCACCATCACAGGAACTCTGAAGCGTCCATCACTGCCAGATGAGGAGAAACTGAAACTCAACCACCAGAAAGGGTCATCCAACTTTAACAGTCTTCCAGCCAATGTCTCCAAGATGCATCTTCAGGGCTCCCCACACTACCTGGGGGCCATCAACCTGAATGATTTCAGCAATCACTCCCTCACTCTGAAGAAGGACAAGAATCAACCACCCAAATCCATCTACATCTGTGACGGGGACATCTTCAAGAAGTTGGACTCAGAGCTCTCCCGGGCACAGGAACAAACCCTGGACACCAGCTACGTCATCCTGCCAACCAACACGTCCACCCTACGGGCCAAAGCGCCCAAAGACGAGGGCAAATACAGCATCAATATTGACCAGATGCCTCAGACACGGCTCATCCACCTCAGTATGGCTACTGACCCAGGCTTTGTGGTCAAGAGTCCTCCCCGGGAGCCTGTGGCCATGGCATGCAGTGAGGTTCAGGGTTCTGCCATGATCCAGCAGCAGCAGCAGTTGGCTCCACAAAACATCTCCAATGAGTCACAGATTCCCAACAGCCTGTGTGACACAGCTGACTCAGGGAACTCAGGTGTGGTGTCCAAGAGTGAGACAGTCTCCACTCTCTCCATGAGCTCCTTGGAGGTGAGAATGGGAGTTACTGGGTTGTTCTCAGCCTAGAATGATGTTATGCCCTCAAAGCTGCTCACACCGGGTGTTTCAAGAGAAGCACTTTAGGCCAAATCATAGAGTCATAGAATCATGATGACACAGCTGACTCAGGGAACTCAGGTGTGGTGTCCAAGAGTGAGACAGTCTCCACTCTCTCCATGAGCTCCTTGGAGGTGAGAATGGGAGTTACTGGGTTGTTCTCAGCCTAGAATGATGTTATGCCCTCAAAGCTGCTCACACCGGGTGTTTCAAGAGAAGCACTTTAGGCCAAATCATAGAGTCATAGAATCATGAAAGGTTGGAAAAAGGTTGTTGGAAAAAAAAAAGGTTGGAAGGTTGGAAAAGACCTTCAAGATCATCAAGTTCAACTGTTAACCCAGCACTGCCACCATATTCATCACTAAGCCATGTCTCCAAGTGCCATAGTCACACATTTTTTGAACACTTTCAGGGGTGGTGACTCCACCACTGACCTGTGAGGTCTCTTTCAGTGCTTATCAACCCTTTCTGTGATTTAAGTCTAAACCTCCCATGGAGCAACTTGAGGCTGTTTCCTCTCACCCTGAAGTGTAGCCCATAATGCATTGCTCATATTATATTATCACCAGGGGTCACTGGCATGTGATACTATTTTGGAATGTTATGTTTGAAATCTCTCACAACTTCCACAGACATATTCCATTGCTATTTCAAGGCCAGGTTGGATGGGGCTTGGAGCAACCTGGGCTAGTGGAAGATGTCCCTGCCCATAGCAGGGAGTTTCTAGATGATCTTCTAAGTCCCTTCCAACACAAACCATTCTATGGTTCTATGATGCATTCTATGACTTGTATTGGCAGTTTTCCCTAGAAGTGGTGCTCAAATGCTCCAGTAGATCACTTGGCTGATCTACTGCTCCCTCTCTGCTTCCCATTCCATGAACAACCTGAAAACCCACAACTAGGACAGAGCCTGAGTTGGCCAAACACCCGTACTGAGCCTTCCTGAAAGCTCAGTGGTTTTTGGTAGAGATCCCTTAGGGTGACCTAACTGTGACTTTCCAGTACCAGGGAGCCTACAAGAAGGATGGAGAGAAACTTTGTACAAGATCATGGAATAACAGGATCTTCCCATTCCATGAACAACCTGAAAACCCACAACTAGGACAGAGCCTGAGTTGGCCAAACACCCGTACTGAGCCTTCCTGAAAGCTCAGTGGTTTTTGGTAGAGATCCCTTAGGGTGACCTAACTGTGACTTTCCAGTACCAGGGAGCCTACAAGAAGGATGGAGAGAAACTTTGTACAAGATCATGGAATAACAGGATGGGGGGAATGGCTTCCCACTGCCAGAGGATTAGATGAGATGAGATATTGGGAAGAAATTCTTCCCTGTGAAAGTGGTGAGGCACTGGCACAGGTTGCCCAGAGAAGCTGTGGCTGCCGA